GATAGTTAACGAATGTATTTTCCGACAGTTTGTGTAAAATAAATCCGATCTTTAAATCATCACAATTTTGTTAATATTAACAGATTTTAACTTTTTATTTTTGATACCTCATTAAAAAGTGTTTTTCTTAAATGTATATTTCAAAGGCTAATAATTATTGTCGAAAAAAAATGGACATCTTTACTTCGCGGGTGGTATGGCATTCTGGACAACAAGTATATACAGTTTTACAAGAAGAATTTTTAATATTCTTTTATCTATTTTGCGTTACTAATGACTTCATTATAACACTGCTTTCGGTGCTGCAATGAGATACTTTATCCCACCCAAAATTTTGATTTTATAGGTTTATGATTTTTCTATTAGGGTCATTTTCAAGAAACACCCGCTTTCAGGAAAATGAAGATCAAAATTTTTTTTTGTTTAAATTGACTTTTGGTTGAATTTTTATAAATATTTAGAGTTTTGTTTACTTACATTTAAGACAGGCAGTGCTTTTTTTAATTTTTTTTTTACGTTTTTTCAGAAAAATGTGTTTAGCTAGCTTTATATGTCTCCACTGTGTTACCAATTTGAAATCCAAAATTGAATTCAATAAAAAAAAGTTGTTATAAAAATAATTTAAAATAAAATGTACTTAGTTCACAAACTTTTGACTCCAATTTTATTTTTTATTACAAATTGTATGCCTTTTTTAAATATTTATGTTAGTTAAGTTACTTTTTAAAAGACACCATTCCGATTCTTTGTTAAAAAAATAATATCATTAATATTTTATTTTAGTCACTGTATTAGTGAGTTAAACTCTAATTTATAAACAGGTATTACCAAGTGATAGTAAAATCATTTTAAGGATTTTTTTAAGAAAAACTAAAAAAAGTAACGAAATAGACATTGGTATCACAACGGACTGGGGTACACAAAGGACTTAATCAGATAACGTAAAAAAGAAACTATATAGGGTGGTACGATTTTAGAGTAATGCATAAACAAAATCCCTTGTAGTGGTGCTCACTTGCAGAATAGCAACTTAGATTTCTAAATTATAGACACCCTTTTTCTTTGACTATAAGCTGGTGTCTTTTAGTACTTGTATATTGCGTGGAATTTTCCCTTGGATGTAATCTATATCATAAGTTGTAATCACAAATAATTTTAAATTGGTTTATCATAAACCACTTTTAATAAAAGCGACGGTAAATATCCACTTTGTTGTCATAAAATTCTATTGCGTTACCCAAAATTCCATTGCGTTGCCATAAGGTAACGTAATGGACTCGGTAACGCAGTGGACAAAGTTTTGTGAAACCATATTTAAAAAATAATATTAAAACATTACAGTCATTAATTACTCTCAATGAGCTTTAGTGCCCTAAAATAAACATAAACATTAAAAATAGTATTTTTTCTTACCTTATTTTTATTATTTTTTTGAGTAACTTAGTGGACAAACAATTATTACATTCGCGTTACCCGCACCTGTTTCAACCGATTTCTTCTTCCTGATTGAATAAATAAATTCAGCTGGGTAATGTGTACGTCTGAACATAATTTGTTAATCAGGTGAGTGCCAAAAAAGTTGCCATATATATGTTTTTTTAATATTGTATCGGTAACGCGACGGACGTAACGCAACGGAAAAAATGTCTGGGACATGAGTCAAATTTAACAAAAGTAGATTAAAATTAATTAATTTATATATAAATTGTTTACTTTATTAACTAAGGATGTTATGGGTTGCTATAAAGCAACACAAAGTTCTGGTTATTCAATATTAAAAAAAACATGTATGTAAGTTTTATAAAACGCTAATGGGACATGCGAAAATGTGTGTTTCACAAGTTTCAAAATTAAAAAAAAATTATTCTGAAATAACTAAACAAACATTTTCTGAATGAGTTTACTAAGGGCTTGTTAGGCTTTCACTTGGTTTTTAAATCAATAAGATCCGATAAATTTTAACAAAGTTATTGGAATTCAAACTTACGGACAGCGGAAGGCGGGTGTTTTTTGAAAACGACCCAGTACTTACGAGACTTTTCTGGCAATTAATTTTGTTTAACACCAAAAAAAATCCTTTTTTTCTTCTTTAACATTAACAGCCGCTTATTGTAAATAAGTAAATTAAGGACGGCATGGCGAATCGATTTTGACATTAACTGTGATACCAACAATCTAAAGTAAAATTCGACCAAATTAAATTTAAGGTATAAAATTAATTTTTTTTATAGAATTTTAGCATAATAGATAAAATGGCATAAAGAATTCATGTCATAGGACCTTTTGCTCACTTGACCATTACAAAACTCGCTCCTTCGTCGCTCGTTTTATAAATTGTACTATTTTGGAGCAATGCTCGTTTTGAAATAGTCACTGTGTATAATAATCAGTGGCGTAGCTAGCCTCGAGGGGGCCCCGTATCAAAAATCTGGGGTCCTTATATGGGAAAAGCTGCTGGCAAAAAAATTTTTGGGTATCAAGTCCATTTTGGGCAAACAAAAAAATTGTTTTGGGAATAATTTCTTTGCATTTACCAATTTTTTATAATTTAATAAATAATATATATATTAGGGTGCTTCATTTCTATAGAGTTACTCATATTGTCAAATTCTTAAAAATTCAGTTTCCGACGACTGTAATAGCTATACTATTAGAGTTGCGTGAAAGAGTGGCTGTACAAGCTAAACTATAAGTGATGCAGAAAAATATTTTCTATCAAATTTGTAGGGCACAAAATTCACTACAAAATTGTTATTTACGTTTTTTATCTACAATCAATAGATCAAGATTTTCGAGTAGAACGACAATTTGTGAAGAACATATTCAACTTACAGGCTTGCTTAAATGGACATTTTTGAAGATAATTTCATCCTGTATAAAGATTTTAGAAACGAAATTCGAAAAAAATATTCTTACTGTACGATTGGAAGGAGAAAAGAATAAAAATTGTTTTTTAATGGTTTTTAAAGGGAAATATTTAAAAATTGAATAGCAACGGCTTAAAATAAAGATTAAGTTAGCTCAACATTTTTGTTTTCTGACAGGTTACAAAATTTTTAGGTGGTACTTGGGAAAAAATGTCGCTTTAAAATGAAGCACCCGAATACATAGCAAATTTTAAAATTTGGTCTGGTTTTAGTCATTTACCGTTCTTCAACAACTTTTAAAAGGTTTCTATTTTAAAATAAAGGCAAGTCATTTAAAATAATTGTAACGCTAATAATTATTTCTAATTTGCACAGAACAATATGCGCAGACAACGCATAGCGGAAAGGTGCGGGCAGAAACAATTCGTATGAGTTCACGGCCTCGTTGGAACATAAGGGTATTCAGGAAAATTTTAATTTAATAAATCGAAGTATAAACAATTAAATAATAAAATTATTTATTTATTTATTTAATTTCATGCCTCAATTTTTTTAACATGTGGGTAATATGTTTTTTTTTACGCATGTCGAGCCAATCGGGGGCCCCCCCTAGCCGGGGGCCCCGTATCATTGATACTGCTGATACCGCGGTAGCTACGCCCCTGATAATAATTACTTTGTCAAAAATGGCGAATGCGCCGGGAACAAAGAAATGTTAATTTTTTTTATTTAAACTGTTTTTAACAAATTAAAAATGATAATAACATAATACAATTTTTTTTAATAAGTTAATTAATTAAATTAAATTATATTTATGCAAATATTAAGGATTCAATAAAAAATCTAACACAGAATACAAAATAATTTAATATTATTATGATACGTGAGTGATTCTTCAGAACGGAGCAAATATGCTGAAACTCTTAAATAAAATATACTAATGAAAGTAGTTAGCATTTAAATAACACTACAATAGACAGTTTATGTCTAGCAGTAGAGCGTACTTAACCAAAAAAATAAAACATTATTTATTTTATTAATTTGAATTTGCTTAAACGCTTTAAAGTCAACTCCATGGACTGTCACCACCTAGCTTAGGGACAAAAAATCATCCATATACTATTAGACTAGATGCAATTGTGAAATGATTCTTTCATATTGCATTTCTTCTAACTTGAAATGTATAAAAAAACAAAACCAAAAGCAAACTTGATATTTTAACCCAAAATGTCGAATAAAGCATGAGACACCATTTTACAGCTAAGTTCTTTGCAGTCTTTTAATATATGATAAATCCCCTGTATAAAACGTATTTTAGTAATGTTTGAAGACTTCGTCGTTTGAGTGATTTAGTGTTGATTTGTGTAAGCAAGGCAAAGGGGGTGTAATATTTAATAAAAATTTATAAAGAACAATTATTTGCGAAAAAACAGGTAAGTATTTTTATTAAAGATCAACTCCATGTCTTTAATAACAAAGGGATTTAAATACAATTGAAATTTAAACTTTCTCCAGGTGAAATAACCAAATATGCTTTGCTTAAATTACAGTTAACTAAATATACATTATGTACCATTTTCTAAAGTTTGTGACTTTAACTATAAAAACATCAACTCCATGGACATCAACTCCATGGAGTTAAAAGGTATGTCCATGGAGTTGTTTACTTTCTTATTATTGCCCTAAACTCTTAGCTCATATAATTTAAGGCATTATTAACGATAATTAATAATATATAGTTAAATTATTTAATTTTTCTTTAAAAAAATTCTCTAATAGTATTATTATTATAACTATATGTATATATTAAGTTTAATTTATAGCCGCCTTGAAATTACTTTATGTTATTAAGAAATACACATTAAGGTATTATTTTGCTAGTATTTTATTAATCTTTGCTTTTTATTTTTTTACCACCCCAATGTATCCCCGTTTTGGATATTCACCCACGTGACATCCTTATTTTTTGTCAAAAATGGTAAATGCGCTGGAATCAGGAAATTATTAAAATTGATTTCCTAATAAAATTGTTATTTTTACAATAATAAAAATCTTCATGCTATAACTTGTTTGTTGGAAAGTGTTTTTATATGAAAAGTTGGGCACAGCTCCTCCGTCGCTGCGTTTAGAGCGTCGGATCCGAGCTAAACGATGGGGTTCGTTCCAAAGCAAACGCAGTGCTCCTAAATTCCGGCCGAAACAACGTCATGCCACAACAACTGATCGTTCGGCACCGAACAGCCACGCAGATCCATTCCCAATAAATCGCGACCAGCTCCGCCGAAATGGAGCATCGAAACTAAATTAAAAGCGTCATGTAGCCGTTGTCCGTTAACTGAACACGTTAAGTTATGCCGCGGGATTTTTATGCTCACACGGTAAGTAGAGCGGCTGTAGGCTTTTGTAGGCCGAATTATTCGGCATCGTGCTTCAGTCACGGTCACCAGGTCATACGTTGTCCAATGCCTCCCCGATTTTCGCTTCCCTTCATTCTACCAATGTCGCGTTTTCATGCATTGTGATCCTTTTATTTAGAAAATATATTTGTTACTGTTATTTCGTGGTTACGCCCCCATATTTTAACAATAAACAATTTGGAATGTAAAACAAAAAAAATTGTTTAAAGTAAATCCATAAAATCCATTTATTTTACATAATGAATTAATAATGCCCATTAATTTTAATTGATTTTTAAAACAACCATTTATTTTTTTTAATAGGCGCAAATTAATAGACATAATTTTTGAAAGCTTTGCTAATATTAATTATTAAGCAACAAATTGTTGGCAATAATAATTTTGTATTTTTTAATTATAACACCGTTAAACAAGATTTTCCTCCAATAAAACATTTTAACAGATTTTCAAAATAAAGGTTAAAAAACATACCCGTGTCTTACCGTTTCACGAAATCACGTCATTTAAATTTTCATAAATACAGCCATTCTTGTTATTATACTCTCTAAAAATGAATTAGTCAAAAATTACTAATTTAATAGTTATTAGTGGCTGCTTTTTCACTTGTACCATGGTTACCATGGAATACCATGGTATCCTAAAATTTAGCCAATTCTTATGTAAAATTGTTCCCTGAATCGGAAAATACCCTCAAAAATTATGAAATTGGAGCATTTTTTGAGATATGGACAATTCCATATTAAATGAAAAATTTACTATATCTCAAAAGCTGTTCTACTTTTTTAACTTTTGATGACATTTTTGGATTCAAGGGACAATTTTAAATAAGAATTAGCTGTTAAATTTTGGGATACCATTGTATTCCATGCCTAACCATAGTACAAGTGAAAAAGCAGCCACTAATAACTAATAAATTAGTCATTTTTGACCATTTTTAATTCTCTATTTTGTTATAAATCTTTTTTTTCTTTAGATACTATTGTATGTTTTTACATATAAATTATACTTAAAGAAAATAATAATTTTAAATTTCAATTTTTATACAGTCATTCTTGTTATTTTAACCTATACAGATTTTTAATTCTCTAATTTGTTATAAATCATTTTTTCTTTTCTTTAGGTACCTATTGTATGTTTTTACATAAAAATTATACTTAAAGAAAATAATAATTTAAATTTTTTTAAGAAATATTTGATTTTTTTTAATAAAACAACAGATTTGTATTTATCTTATATACCTATTATAGCAGTATAATACTGCTGGTGGACCTCCCAATCGTCACACCAAAACGGTGTTTATCTAAAAATATTTGAGAAGTGCAAAGGCAATGTTGATCTCGAGATGTTCTTAAATCTCGCTTCTGTTGATTTATATGAAGAATATATAAGCTCAGGTAGTCCTTTGCTTTGGTGTGACACTACAAGTTGTTCAATACTAAAGAGACCTTAAATAGGTGGAAACAGCTGTCAATACTTGAAGTATTTTAAGTTAGTGGAACGCACTAAAAACATTATCTCTAGCGGGTTGAAGGTTCCATTTTCTGGAATAATACCACTGGTAATATACTAGTACTGCGTCAAGGAACTTCCTGTTTCCTTTTTCTTTCCTTTTTTCTGTGTAGTATGATTTAATTTGACCACAAACACATAATATTTAATACTGAAAAGGAGTTTAATTTACACCAGGTAAAATTTATTTTAATACTGTGTAAAAGTTAAATTAACACTATTTTAGTAATTGAATTAACACCGGACCAACGAACCACATTTAACACCATTTTGGTTTGTATCGATATAGACCATGTATGGTGTTAATTTGGTGTTAAAATGGTCATGAAATTTTGAACAGTGCAAATCAAACGAACAGTAACGAAAATACAGCGCTTCAAAGTCGTAAAAAATGACCACTTTTCAGCAAAATAATCAAAAAGAGGCCATTTTTACCGACTTTGAAGCGCTGTATCTTCGTTACTGTTCGTTTGATTTGTACAAACTTTTCAGGGTATACTAACAAAAATACGGTCTTTAACAGCATATTTTTTATTTACTTAAAAAAATCCATAAAAATTATTTTTCGAACGTATACCTGAAGTGAATAGTTTTCTGGATTTTTGCTATTATAACCTATAGGTTTACGAATATGGGGTAACATGTTTGGAATCTTATATTATTTAAAAGATTCCATGTCAATTCTTTAACATTTTTCAACAAATTACCCGAGAAAATCTAGGGCAAATTGGGCTAACTTGAAACGTTAATAACTTTTTTAAATGTAACACCTGGTATGTTTTTTCCTAAGCAAATAGCAAATAAAGAAACATTTTCATTAATGTAACTATTCCCTATACCCATAGGTTAAATATCTTTGAAATTATTAACTTTATAAAATTAACAATTTCAGATATTTAACAAAAAGATTACGTAACTGTAACAATTTAATTAACAAACCAACAATTTTTTATTACTAATTTTTTACTAAATGTACAAAGTAGAGTACATGTAAGCATTTCTTAATTCTTACTTCTACATTAGACGTTGCTCTTCTTGACTATTCTGGGTCTACATAATACTAGAAATTGTTAAATATCTCTAAAATTATTAAATTTATTTATAGGGAATAATTACATTAATCGAAATGTTTTTTAATTTTCTATTTGATTAGGTAAAAACATACAGGGAGTTTCATTTAAAATAAAAAAGTTATTAACGTTTAAAGTTAGCCTAATTTGCCCTGGGTTTGTTGAGTAATTTGTTAAAAAATGTTAAGGAATTGACATGGAATTTTTTAAACAATGTTTTAAGATTCCAAAAATGTCACCTTCATTTCCGCAAACCTAATAGCAAAAAAGTTATAGACTATTTTTGTTTGGCTCGCATTTGTCAAATTTTAAGGAAAAAAATTATTTACTCGAAAACTATTTACTTTAGGTAAAGGACATGGAACAGTAATTTTACTCAGAATGATAAAATAACAAAGTTAATGTCACTTCCGATCAAAACAAAAGTGGAATTTTGTTTAAAATATTAAAAAAAAAATAGGCTTAATTGGATTATAAACGGTTTAAAAATTTTAAATCAATATCTTTTGTCGTTCCTCAAAATTTATCAATGGACCACGAACGTGGAACACTTGTATTTTGTAAATGTGTTACACCCTGTATATAATTAAAGTAATTTTAAAATAAATAAATAATTTTAAAGGTTGTCCATTTATTTAGTGAATACATTTTTCATACAAATATACAGTCTAGCTGTTATCGAAGCTGTTATTATGTGCCTAATACAATGAATAACATTTTATTGGTTCGCACTTAAAAAAAGTGCCGTAATTTTTTAATCCTATTTTCAAAATCTATAGGAATTTTTCATGGGAGGAAAAAGAAATCAAATTTGGTTGTATTGTGTAATATAAATAAATTGCATATTTTCATTTTAGATCTATAAAAATTCCTCTTAAAATTCTGTTTGTCAAACATAAAATGTAAATATCTTTAACTAAAATAAAATGACATTGAACTCTGATAAATTGAAAGCAAGATATTTATAAAGAATATTTCCTTTTTCCTCTTTATATCTTGTCATTTTATTAGATTTCACTTTGTAAGGCTAAAATGTGTCACTTATGAAATAAAATTTGTTATTAGATGAGAAATGATTTTTATAAAAGTAGTTTTAAATGTTTTCACCCAACATTTTTGCACCCCACAATATGCATATTTATTTTAAATAACAACCCCACTGTGTGGAATATAATTACAGATTAAAAAACTAAACTTTTTGTTTTAAAATTAATAGAAAAATTAAAAATAAACTTTTCTTCAATCTTATAGATGTTTAAAATGTCTTCCTGACACTTAAGTAATCTACTGTGAAATTGTTCTGCACTCTGTTTAAAACCTCCGTTGTTATGTTCCAAATTTCTGCAGTTATTTTGTTTTTTCATTCATCTGGCAGGTTGTGTTTTAAACAACCTGTTTTTTAGATGTCCCCATAGGAAAAAGTCTAGAGGTGTTAGATCTTGTGATCTTGCTGGCCATTCTATGTAGTGGGGTGGTGCACCGTCCTGTTGAAGCCATATCCTTATTGGAAATATTAGGTTCCAATGGATTTGGAAACAACTTTGCTAAAGTTGGGACAACTTGTTCTCTTAGCATTTCCAGATAACTGTCTTGACCTCTTAAGATTTTATGAAAATAGGTCCCACCCACAGACCAACCACATAAAGTTCATTTTTTTTTATCTGGACTGCGGCAACGTTGCAAATTTAGGGTTTTGGTTGGTAAATACAGTTGTCAAGTTGGTCGCATTGATTAAAACAAACTAAGCTAGTTATAAATCTAATGTGGTTATGTATAAATTATTGTAGGTTACATTGTGTAGTTGTCAAGTTGAGTTGTCGAAATTCGTAGTTAAAAATGCAATTAATTTGGCTTTGGTGGTGCTTGGATGAGTAAAATCATATAAAAAAGTAGTTAAATATAGGTTGCTTTACGGCCCAGAAGAGAAAGTATTCCTAGCAGATAATAATCTTCGCTTTGAAAAGAATTTATATAAAATTTTTCTGAACGTAAATGTTGTCCAATGGTGAATAATGTGAAAATAATGTGTGATGTAAAATTTATAAAACCAAATTCGTTACTTTTTTACTCCAAAAATGTCCATAAGGCGATGTACTTTTTCTTCCATTGTGGCATTTGGCATAATTTCATCAAAATGAAGTTTTGCCCTCAAAAGGGCTTTTACATTCGAATTCGTTGCTATTATTTTTGGCATAATTATCTTTTTATTTATAACTGACAAGTAAATTATCAATAATAAATATTATTGTCAATTTGACAGTGTCAAAGTATTTAATTAAATTCTTTAGCAGAAGTACCATTTTTAAATACTAAAATACTAAATAGTCAAAATGACATCAGCCACCAACCTAACAAAAAAACACGAATCCAGATAAAAAAATG